ATAATTGCAGCACAGAGATCTTCTGCATCCTGAAGTTCTCCCACCACTGCTGGTGGTCCTGTGCCTGCAGCACCGTCCCAATCTCAGTTTGCTTCCCACATCAAGAACTGGAGGTCTGCAGACTGGCAGACTTGAGACCAAGCAAAAGCTCTTGGCACCTAGATAGCCTCATCTTTGGATGGAACAGCCTGCACAGGTCAGTTAAGTGTCATGCGATGGGATGGTCCATCTCAGCCCTTGGGTGCTGTGCCTGCCACGGCAAAATTTGCTCACTGATACAGATGAAGGCTTGAAGTGAAGCGTGCACACAGCCATGGGAAGCTAGAAGTGGCCTTGTAATCCAGTGAGTGGATATAGCACGTTAAGTTGATGAGGTCAGAATGCATCCAGGCTACGCTCTTCAGTTTGAAAATGGCACTGTTCCTCTTACAAAGAGGATGCCAGGTCAATCTGGGGATTTTTTTTGTAGTTGAATCATGGACAATAAACCTGGAGACTTTCAGGCATGCTCCTCCCCAAGTCCCACTATGCTGCAAAGGGATACTTCATCCATTCCTCGCTTGATGCAGCTTGGAGCACGCTCAGGTTTTCACGCACGTGCTCTCATTCGTAGCAAACTGAACACAACAGGGTCATTATACACAACTGCCATGGGCCTGATTTGCTCGTGGTTTATGCCTTGAGGTTGGCCTTTCAAGAGCTGAGGCTTTCGAAGGACTTGAGAGAGCTGTAGGGGTGGACTGGAGAATGAAGCCTGGACAGCGTGCGGTGTTGGCTCGCTCTGCTGTTTTAGGCTTTACTGCTGAACATAGGGTAGAAAGCTGGGCGTGAAGCCTGCCCAGCTCAGCAGGGATTAGAAATGCTTCCCATCTAATGGATCTAATGCATTTTAACAGGATCTGAAGGGGGCGGGACAGGGATGTGGCTCTCCAGAGGATCCAGTTATGCTTACTATGACTTTTATTGAAGCGGGGTTGGGGGACGGGGGCAACTTCGTGCTCCCTGCCTATATCAGGCCCTAGGAAGACTGGGCGAGAACAGCTGGGAGGGCTAGGGAGGCTTTCCCACAGCTCTATAGGGGTGTTTATACCAGGCCCTGATGGCAGGCAGGGGCTGATCCAGAGGGGCCCCAGATGTTAACTGCCCCACATCCGTCTCCCCGCAAGGGAAGAGGTGGCTTTGCCCCCCTTTAACTCTTTCCTAGCCAAAGGCAGCTCCATTTAACCCCCGATTGGCCAAGGGGGAGAGGTAGCTTCACCTCCACGTAACCCTTTATTAAGGAGACCGCTTTGCCCCGACTCCAGGGCAGGTCCAGGGGGTGCAGTGCTACAGTCACATCCCGCTTTTGATTCCTATTCCACCCAAAGCTTAAAACCAACTGCCTGGCAATGGCTGCAGCTTGTCTATGGCTTCAAAGCTTATTATAATCTGAGTCCTTCTCAACTCTTCCTTTCGCAGGTGTTACAGACCCCCTCTCCCGTGGTCTTCACCTTCTGCTAATCAAGCCAACCTTTCTTCTGCAATTCTGCCGCCTGCTCCCGGTAACGGCGCTCCTATTTCACAGCCCGGCAGGCTGGTTTGAACTCCAGTGAAAAACACCGAGTTGCAGATCAATAGCAGTGGTACGAAGCGTTTACACTCTGGATTTTATGTGGTGGTTTGGACAGGGGTGATCCTGCCTCGGGCAGCGGCTTGGCTTCGATGACCGCGAGACCTCTCTTGCAGCCCCACTTCACCCCTCATTGGTGGAGGAGAGGGGGCTTCACCCCTACATAGCCCCCCATTGGTGGAGAGGGGGCTTTTCCCCCACTTAACCCCTCATTGGCTGAGGGGAGAGGGCTTTGCCCCCACTCAACCCCTCATTCACTGAGGGGAGGGGGCTTTGCCCCCACTCAACCCCTCATTGGTGGAGGAGAGGGGGCTTTGCCCCCACTTAACCCCTCATTGGCTGCGGGGGGGGGGGGGGAAGCTATCACCCTTACTTAACCACTTATTGGCCAAGGGGAGGGTGCTTCACCTCCACTTAACCCCTCATTGGCTGAGGACAGGGGCCCACTTAACCCCTCATTGGCCAAGGGGGAGGGGGCTTCACCCCCACTTAACCCCTCATTGGCTGAGGGCAGGGGCCCAACTTAACGCCTCATTGGCCAAGGGGGAGGGGGAGCCCCCTATTGGCCAAAGGGGAGGGGGCTTCGCCTCTACTTAAGCCCTCCTTGGCCGAGGGGGGCGCTGCTTTGTCCCCGTCACGGCGCGGCGCGGAGGGATCCGTGCCGGCGGCGGCGGAGGGATCGCGGCCCCCGGCCCCGGCCCCGGTGCGGCTGCGTGCCTCCGCGACAACCAAACT